TGCCCCGTACACCATACTTTTTTCTTTAACAATAGAGTCGTACCGATCATCTATCTAACACCTTTCAGGGAAAATCTTTGAATTGAAATAACGTGACTTCTAGTTTGCATCAGAAGTTCTTATATAGTTAATATATACAATTTTTTAAACTAATAATTCTGTGAAATAAATAAAGTAATTAAGAAGCATTGTAAAAATAACAATTAAAAATATTTTATTATAATAATTTTCTAAATTTGTCAAAATATTTTAACAAAAATGAAATTTTGACATACCCTTGTCTTCCTAATAAAAAGTGACGGACAGTCCGCCTCTGTTCGTCGGTGTGTTGCGGACACCTATGAGATCTAGTGCACATTTTTTTTGTGTGCTCTGATATTACTCCGCACATCTGAAAACAAAACTTGGTGTTTTATTACGATAAGAACTAAAATGGTTACACAATACTTAAAAAAAATTCAAATATAATTTATTCTAAGTATTTTAAAATTATCTTTAAAATGAAGTTTTCAATAACTATCACATTAATTACATACATATTTTCATGTTTATTAAATTGATATTTTTATTTATAAAGGAAATTCTTATTCTGTTGCCTTCACTAAGCAAAAACCTCACTGAAATTCTGACTTTGGAAAAAAACCCACACATTCCTGTAAATTACTGAACACTCTCAGGTGAACGTTAATAACTTAAAAAAACCCTACATTTCAACAAAAATTTAAATTTTGATATTTTAAGATATAAATCATTCAACATATTGAAATGATTAAGCAAAAGAAAAAAAAATGTATGATTTATAATGAAACAACATATATTGAATATTGAATCACCATTAAACTATAGGGTGACGATAATTAACCCGTACAAAGTTTGTAGCAATGCTGCACCTGAACTTTTTTACCATCACCAATTTACATACTGTCATTTAATTCTCTGTGATTTCTTGCCCATGTAGATGTGCTTTTGGTGTAATAAGGGTTAGTTCTTTATTTTTTTAAGGATGGCGAACAAACATTGTGCAATTTTGGAGCTATTCTGGCAAGGAAAACATCAATGTGAAATTGTTCGTTTGCTCGGTGTTCCGAAAATGACAGTCTCGAATGCAGTTCAGCGATTCAAGAAGCTTGGCCATGATGCTGACCATCCAGGACATGGAAGAAAGCACACCATCAACACATCTAGGAACCGCAAGATCATCAAAAAGCGAGTTGATGACATGTGAAGATTTCCATGAGAAAAATTGCTCGTGAGATCGGAATCAATCGTGAATCGATGCGGTTAATGGCGAAAAAGGAACTCGGACTCAAGCTCTACAAGTTCCAAAAGTTTCAGCACCTCATCAATGAAAAGAAGTGCATGCGACTCCAAAGATGCCATCAACTCAAGCGTTGGGCCACAGGTCAACAATGGAAGCACATTCTCTTCAGAGACAGGAAGTTTTTCTATGTACAAAAGGCGCATAACCATCAAAACGACAGAAATTGGTCTGTAGAGTCTCCCTGATGCTCAGCCATCATCGAACATCACAAAAATCCAATGTTTGGACAGGAATTTGTGCAAGCGGCAAGACACCCCTTGTTTTCCTCAATCAAGGGGCCAAAATCAATCAAAACGTGTACCGCTGTGACATTCTCAAGGCCATGGTACTTCTGTAGGCTCAGCAGCATTTTGGACTTTTCAGCAGGACTCAGTGCCAGCACACAGGGTGAAGACTCAGGAGTGGTGCAAAGCTCATTATCCTGATTTCATCTCGTCTGCGGAATGGCCACCATACTCATTGGATGTGAACCCAATGGACTACAGTGTGTGGTCCATTTTGGAGGCTAGGGCCTGCACTAAACACCACAAAAGTTTGGAGTCACTGAAGTAATCCTTGTGCCAGGAGTGGGACAAACTGTTTCCAGAAGAGCTGCGGCCCATCGCCGAGAATTTAGAAATGCATTTGGGGCTCTGCATCAAAGCAAATGGAGGCCACTTTGAAACCGGCTGAATATCTGATTAATACATAAAGTATTGTCACTACTATCTGCTGTTGTTTTGCTAATTTTCATTTCTTTAATAAATTTATGAGGCAAAAAACTTGTACGGGGTAATTATAGTCACCCTCTAATATATTTTGAAAAAAACATGTTCAAGACCAACTAAAAAGTTCAAATTTATATGGAACTGTATAGGCATACGAAAAGGAAATATTTAGTTTGTGGTACATTAAACTGTGATACAATATAATTTATAGNTATGGGATGACATATGTGTTTATTGCTTTAACTTATTATTATTATAAAAAGGCAAAAAAGGCTTAATTTTGTGAGCAGGGATGCATTTTTAAAAATATTGTAATGCTAATAGTGAGTAAAATTTGCATTAGATACGACCCCACTTGAGATATGATTCCCCTTGAGTTCCATCTCAAAAATTAAAATTTAATAGCATCAATGTCACTTATATGCAAGTTACTGTGCAAATTTTGTTTCTTAATCTTTATTTTTATCCCATCACACACACACATCCTGGAAATTTTTCCTTTTCTTTTTTTTGGGAGTTCAGGGCATCTCAAAATGTTGAGATTTGCAAATCCTGGATGGTAAAATTTAACAATTACAATACTTTCCCATAACAGCTGGAGAAGTAAAAGACAAATACTACCATTAGACAGATAAAAAATCTTATTGACGAATACAAATCACACAGTACAATATTTTAATTACTATGTAACAGATTGAGAATGGTCCTTTCTTAGCACTCTGTAAATCGTGACAAGATCCAATTTTTGTCCAAGCCAGACTACAATAGAGTTAGTTATTTTCTGTCATGCCCATGTAGGCTATCAAAACTATACACAATAAATTATGAAAACCTAAATTAAGTTCAAATCTACACTTACAAAGGTAGACCAATATCATACCACAGCCGTATAATTGCTAATGATCATATTCATCCTACATGCATCTATAATCTTTAAATAAATACATAAATAAGTATGTAAATTACATATTTAGTGTAATTATACTGTATGATGTCAGAAACTACAATACTAGAATGCCGGAATTATAACAAAGAATAATTATTATTATTCATAATTACTACAATAGTTAGATGATAGAATAGTTATATTATACAGTTAGAATAATCAAAGTAAATGCACATTGTTACTTAAACAATGTCCTATTATTTTTGTTTGTCAATTTTTTCTAGCTATGTAATGTTCAATAACATAATTTCCACCTTGGCAAAACAAATATTAGAGAGGTTGCAGCTGATGTTTCCAAAACGTAAACGTGTACGTCGGACGTTGAGCGCCGCCTTCCTGTGAGCCTAGAAGTTTAACAATGGCATTTGGAACGTCAGTAGAATGGCAACATTCCAAACGCCATTGTCAAACTTCTAGGCTTACAGGAAGGCAGCACTGTTTGACGTACACGTTTTTGCGTTGAAAACGTCGGCCGCAACCTCTCTATTTTGTGATGTGTTTTGTGTTTGTGAAATCTTTCAGATAACAGTATTTTGCACAACTTCTGAAAAAAGTAATATTGGTACATCAACACAGTCATCGTTTCCTTCATTATTTTTTGAAGACATCAAAGCTATATCATCATTGCTGGTCCCTACTAATAACATTGTCATAAAGTGTGAAAATTCTCCAAAATCATGTTCAAAATATGCATCTGGTGAATGCATCTTAAACACCTTTTCTTGTCATTTGTAAATTCACTTATCTTCATTTGCATATCTTCCATATTTTCAATTATGGAAAATTTCAATAGATAACCTCTTATTGAAACGTAGCCCAATCTTCTTTAAAGCATTATAAGTGTTAAAATTATATCCATTATACTGACATTATTGTGGAAGTTTTCCTTAATTTCAGAAAATTTTGGGGATAACTAACTATCTGGCAACTGAGAGTATGTAATGTCTCAAATGTTTATTAGAGACTATTACTTTAGAAAACTAGAAAACTGTTAAACAACAGAAAATACACAAATCTCAAAATATTACCTATAATGTACACAAACAATATACAGGAAATCCTCGTTATTTCAAAATTCACAGGACGAAATAACCACAACCACATATACAGAATACTATTTTTGCTAATTAAGAATAATATGTGAAAAAGAAAAAAAAAACCCACAGCAAATATGATTGAAGGGGCAGAGCCATAAATCCTGATGACAAAGGTAAATGATAAGGGGAGGACTTTGTTTTACCTCCAACAGGTTCTTGTTGAAAAAGAAAAAGCAAATCAAATGTTGCAATAATATGAATTAACTGCAGGTAAACAACGTGTGTCCAAGCACAGGTTGCCAGATAGGTTTTATAAAAAGTAAAGCAGAATTCCTTGAAATACAGCCTAAATTATTTTTAATTACCCAAAAAGTAGTAAGTTGCTTAAATATAGTAGCCTAGAGATCTACAAATATCTGAACCTGCTACTCGTAGCCCAATCTTGCCGAGCCATATTTTGTGAGATAAGAGAATAAATAAAATGACACCCAAAAAATGTGTTACTGTAAAAACAAAGCAATATTGACCAGATTAGAGTTGTTCTTAGTCTACTGTTCTCTTATTGTATGGAGGCACTTTGATCTAAATAACACAAGTTAACATATACACACAACAGTTCAAACAGAATTTTCACTTCAAATTTCAAAGTAGCTGTATTTCAAACTAACAAAATTCCTTAACGTGTAAATCTATATCCCCAGCCGGGGCAAAACTACTGTTATGAACTAATGGGATTTCGAACTATGAGAGTTCAAATTAACGAGGATTTTTATATTAAATATAATTAAAGAAGATCATTAATCGCGTTGCCGAAATAAATATTTTACATGAATGCTAGATGTGCAAATGTATTAATTTTATCAATAATAAAATTGTTGGAAATACACTATTTCAAAATTAATAGCATATTTCACAAGTGTAGCGAAAGTAATTAATTTTTAAACTTTTTGCCAAAACATTGTCTAAATCATTAAATTTAAAACAATCACCATTATTAGTGGAGGTAGAATCAGCAGGAGAGGCATTTGCAGAATTTCCAGATTCCCATAACCGCAACATCTGACTGTCTCCTTCTTCTAGTGTATCGACATCTACTTGCACTTCGTCCGATGTATCGAGAAGAGAACTCCTGAAAGAACTAACAACGTTAATCATTTTTATTTTTAATTTAATAAAATTATCAAAGTAATCTGAAAATCTGAAATATTCATTTATTCTACATAAAATTAACATTATAATTTTCATTACAGTATTAATATACTATAATAAATTTTCCAACTATTATTTTAAATCGTGCTGGAAAATTAAAATAAATCTTTCATCACCAGATTAAATAAAGCAGAGAAAAGTGAATAATATTCTGTGATGCTATTAACAAAATAAATTTAATTAAGAAAAGTATCAAAAATTGTCTATTAAGTAGCAAGTATTTTCATTGTTAAAGTAATCAACATGTAACAAAGGAAAAAGCAATCCAAATTCCTTACTTTGAGAGGAGTGTTGTGGTCATGATTAAGTACAGTGACTTTTTAGAGGTGTGTCTGATTGCATGTGTAAGGGGATGCGTGCACTTTTGCCAAATTTTGAGTTTGTAGTTTAAGATTATTACTTGCAAAAAAGGAAACATTAAAAATGTAGCAAATACCAAAGAAAAGAAATAAAGGTCCCAGAAAGATTTAAAAAAAAAAAAAAAAAAAAAAAAAAAAAGTACAGTCGACCCCCTATAACACGGGTTCCTATAGTTCAGATTCCTATATCACAGCGAAAAAATTGCGACCATATTCATAAAAACATGCTAAAAAAACTTGTATAATTTGGTAAAATGTCATCGCCAACTCGTGTTGTGACAGGATTGGTCGAATCTGGACCAATAGTGGACGAGTAGCCGAACTACTTACACGCTACAGAGAGTTTAGGCAGGAAAGTTGAGTTTACTATCATCTGTACAGTATATAAATTAGGTACTGTAAGTCTAATACAGTAGACCCCCCTATAACGCTTAGATACGTTCCACGCTAACCGAAAATTACGTTGTAGGAATGATTAAATACATGAGCCAATCGCAGCCAGATAGATGGGAACTTTACGGACTAAGGCTGTTTGAAAAGTTTTCTTCTATAAAATTAACCGATTCTAGACTAATTCCACTCAACATTTCCAAAACACGTATAATTTTTTGGGAATAATCCGTATAAACTACGCTATAAACAAAAAATTATAGGATTACTTACTGAGTGTGTACCGTTCGACTACGCCGTTGCTTAAAGCTGGTTTTCATCGCGGAACAGCACATTAAACGGCGGCCGCGATTTCTAACAACTTATTTTTCTGCGAAGACTTCGTTGAACTTTGGAGACATCATTAATATAAATAATTTTTATGG